AAACTCAAAATTATCTTTAGATAATTGATTTATATTGACCTTTTGCGGTTGAAACCATACTGAAAAATAACATTGCCATAAATTAACAAAATAATATTTCCATTTATTCATCAGAAGCGGCGTATCTTTTGTTGCCAGAATGCATTTTCCGTGATATCGAACATAATGTAGGAAAGGATCCTTGAGCAGCCCTAGGATCGCCGGAAAATTATTAACAAAGACTTTAAAAAAATGTTGTATTTTTTACATAGAATAAAATTCGCTCAAAAAGGACTTTATAAGATGTCGATCGTAAATGAGAAGACCGCTTGCGTAGAAAAAAAAAAGATGGATTCGTATTCACATACATGAGAATTATATAAGAACAAGAAAAATCTTGGATTCAAAATTGATGTTTTTTTTAATATCAAAATTCTTCCAATTACAAGACTCGTATAGACAGAACCGAAAAAAATGCAAAGAAGAGGCATCTTTTACCCGGTAACGTAGGGTTTGAACCAAGATTTCTAGATGGATCGGGTAAGGTATTAGTACATCTAACACATAATTAAAATGTGTTAATTTATCTTCTAAAAAGGGAAATATTGAATGAATGGATTGTAAATTATAAGATTTTTTTAATTGTTTTCCTTCGAAAGAGGATCCTAATCTTAGGGAAAATGGAATTTCTACAATCACTGCAAATAAAACAGATATCATTTGATAATAGAAAAAATTGGTATGCCCCAAAGAGGTATTTTGGTTCAAATCCTTAATAGAAAAAATCAAACAATTCTGTTCATACATTCGCAAAATTAAGCGTTTCACAATTAGTGAACTATATTTTTTGTCAGAATCCACGTTTTTCCACGAAAATGGAGCGATTTCTATTTAATCTATTTAAACGGTGATCATAAGCAAGTACATAAATATACTCCCGAAAAAAAAGGGGATATAGAAAACTCTGTTGCCGAGCCCCCTCGAACTCTAAATATCCTTGAAATTTCTCCATTTGGATTGAAATTCGATTTTCACTAAAAGTCTTTATTTTCTTGAGTTCTGAAATGACACATAGTGCGATACAGTCAAAATAAGGTATTAAATTACGAAAGCAATAGATACCTCATAAACAGGTAGACTGCTAACCGGATTCTCTATTTTTAATAGGTTTCTGTTCGTTATATTATAGAATAACAAAACAAGATGATTAGAAATCCTTTATTTTTTTTAACCTAATCGCTCTTTTGATTTTGGAAATATATATATATTTTTATCAATATACTGCTTCTTTTTACACATCCATTTCCAACCTAACCCAAACGGACTAGGGAAAAAAATAATTAGGACTCATGAAAAAATTGATAATAACACGCAAGAAAAAAAAATCCCTTCCCATACCCGTATTAGGCACTAATCTATTTTTAACATTTAATTAGATCGGGTAATTTTTCAAATTACGAATGGAAGCTCGTTTCTTTTTTTTTTCCTGGAATCAGGAAAAATGGGTTTTTTTTATCCATCCATTTATATTTATTCACTCGACCCAAATTGGAATTCCTTTTTTTTGTCGACACTGAAAACAGGGTTGTACCGATCAGGAAAGCAAAAAAAATTATCTGAATTCTCCCTTGATACGACATGCTATTTTTTCCATTTATTCCTTTCAGGATCAGTCGTGGTCTTACAAACTCTACCGCAGATCTGGACGAATCCTTTTCTTCATACAAATGTGTAAAAGATGCTAGTCGCACTTAAAAGCCGAGTACTCTACCGTTGAGTTAGCAACCCCCAAAAACAAAAAAAGAAAGTACTGCAAATATGTAGATACAACCAGAATAAAGAAAAAAAAAAAAAAAAAAAAAATCCAGTCATGTGTGCGTCCGGGATAAATGGATCTATTTCTCTATGAGAGAATTATATTTGGTCGATACACTGTTGTCAATATGATTATTAATTTTTAATATAGCGAAAAGAATATAAAAAAGAAATAAAAAAGATTAACCCCTTGGTTTGTTAGTTCATACAATGAATGAAAACTAAGCCAGGTAGGATAATCTCAGATATTTTTATACTTTTTTAAACCCATTTTGTATGGCCTTTAATTTTTTTATGAATAATGAATAAATTATTCATATAATAATATTAATTTTAATAATATTAATTTTATGAATATACATACATATTATTTTCTATACACTAAAATTTTGTATTTATACAAAAATTAGCATCCAAATTTTTTTTCATAAATTTGTTTATGATTATAAAACATAATTTGTTTATGATTATAAAACATAGTAGTTGTTAGCAGGGTATTTTTTAGTATTCTTACCTTAGGAAGAATACTAAAAATAAATAAAAATAAATATGATGGAAACGAAAGAGGAGGAAAGAAAAGAGTAGATAAAATTTTATACCAAGCTATATATGAGTCTTTCACATCCTCTTTTTTATATTTCATTAATTCAATTTCGTTTTATTAAGACTTAATTCCGTAAAAATCCCGGCCTTCTTTGAAATATCATGAACTGTTCTTGTTGGTTGAGCGCCTTTTTTAAGGAAATCGAGAATAGCAGGAAGATTTAAATAAGTTTGATTAGTTATCGGATCATAAAAACCCACTTTCCGAAGATCTCTTCCTTCTCTTCGGGATCGAACATCAATTGCAACAATTCGATAAACGGCTCATTGGGATAGATGTATATGAATAATACCCCCCCCCTAGAAACGTATAAGAGGCTTTGGCCTCGTACGGCTCGAGAAAAAAATTCAATGAGTAGAAGTGAACTCTCTATATAAAATTAAAATATTAAATAGATTAATAAAAAAATTAAACCAATTAGACAGTATTGAAACCCTAAATATTTTTTTTTTCATAAAAAGCATTCTTAACATTCGTACTCTCATAACTCAAGTTAAATAACTCTCAAATATCTCAACAGAGAATCCTTAAGTACTCTTTTTATTTTTTATTGAGTAGTCTCTAACCCTTTTTTGTTTGTCTCATTTTTTAGAATAAATGTTTATTCTTCATTCTGATCTAGTTGTTCAAACAATTGAAACTGGATTTCCTTGTTTCAGGATTTTTTATCCTTACTTTGAATCTTTGGGTTTAGACATGACTTCGGTGATCTTGAATCGTTTTATTAAAAAAGGGCAGCAACAAACCCCTTATTTTGTTTATGATTTCTTTTATTTCTATCAAAGAATCATACAAACGCTTGATTCACGCATAATAGACTTTTGATTAAAATAATTTTACAATTTTAATAAAATTTCCTTTTATATTGTAAAATTACTTGAAAAGGGCTTTTTTCAATATAAAAATAAAAAGACTTACGAAGTTGTTCCAACTTATTGATTCGCACTAACCCTGGATCCTTACTCCTGTGAAAGGAATAAAAACTTTATATTCTCCTCGAGCTCCATCCTGTACTCTTTTTTATATTCAAAAAAAGTGTAGGACTCTAGTAAAATAGAATACAAAATGTCGAGCCAAGAGCACCTATATTCCTATATAAAAAGTGGCGGATAAAAAAATCCACAGCAGATCATGTCCTTCAATTCAAGTCGCACGTTGCTTTCTACCACATCGTTTTAAACGAAGTTTTACCATAACATTCCTCTAGTTTGTGTAATTGATTCAATTATGGAATCATGAATAGTCATAGTTCAGTCAGTATATCGTAATCTATACTTTTTCTTTCTCTATGAATGGAATAGTGAATTTACGCGTAAAGGGTTCAGTCAGAATTAAAATGAATCCCATATTAGATTGTATATATATACAATAAAAATTTGAATATAACTCCATATTTATATATATAAATATATATACCTTTTTTTATTAAAACTCTTATAATCCGCGGTTCTACCTTACTTAACTTACCTGCATCAAAAAAAAAAAAAAAAAAAGAAAATAGATGCTTTTTGAATTCGGTTGAAATTATGAAAAATAAGTTGATTCTTCTTTTAATTTAAATTTTTTATTTTACAAATATTGGGTTTTTAAACAGAAAGAGAAAGATGGTGTACAAAGTCAATAGAAGATTGATTTCATAATGACTTTACTCTGGGACGGAAGGATTCGAACCTCCGAATAGCGGGACCAAAACCCGTTGCCTTACCGCTTGGCTACGCCCCATTTCGATTTTTATTCAAGACTATTAAAAGAGTAATATTGCTACTGGTTGTTCGTCAATTCAATTTAAGACAAAATTAAATATAGATTACATTGGTGCTAGGATTTTGACACGTCTCGATAGCAAATCAAACTGACTTTATTGATCATTACATAGAATTCAATTAAGATATTGTATGAAAATATTATTTCTTTAATTCTCATAAGAGAATAAAAGGATTTTTGATTGAGTAAATTCAAAAAAGTCTTTTTAGACTATCTTTATTTATTTTTTCCTTATATAAAAAATAGATTAATAACTCAATCAAAATAAAATTATCCACAAGAACACCAATTTTTGTTATGCTTAATATATTTAATTTGATCTGTATTTGTTTTAATTCTGCCCTTTTTTCAAGCACTTTTTTAGTCGCCAAATTGCCAGAGGCCTACGCCTTTTTGAATCCAATCGTAGATGTTATGCCCATAATACCGCTTTTCTTTCTTCTCTTAGCCTTTGTTTGGCAAGCAGCTGTAAGTTTTCGATGAAATTCTTAATACTGTCTTAGAAAAATTCATGATTTTTATTCTTCCACCAATTCAAAAGATCAAAAAAATCTTGACGTAGGAACGAACTATCAATTCAAACATTTTTTTTTTAAGAATCTAATTAGATTCGAGTTCACCAAAACAAATATCTAAATGTTGGTATGCAAATCTGTTTGAAAATGTTGGTATGCAAATCTGTTTGAATATGAAAGACTCTACTATTATCTTATTACAAATGATTTGCTGAAACTTTTTTTTTTATTTTTCTAGAAAAAAATAAACCACTGGATTTATTGGTATCAAAATTAGCTATTTGGTATAAAAATAGAGAATCTATTCTCTTTTTTTTTTGAAA